ATCACTTTCTTGAGCCCGATCTTAAGGGAAACACTTGTAGTTTTTGCCCATTGAGTATCATGTTGGCTGTGGGTTTGTCATATGTGGCGTTTATTATGTTCCCTCTATTCCCACCTTGCTGCGAGTTTTTATCATAAATGAGTGGTAGATTTTATCAGATGCTTTTTCTGCATCTATTGATATGATCATGTAATTTTTAACCATTTTGTTTATGTGTTATATCACATTAATTGAATTGTGGATATTGTATCAACCTTGCATCTCAGGAATAAATCCTACACAATCGTGGTGTATGGTCTTTTTAATGTATTGCTGGATTTTGGTTTACTAATTTTTGTTTTATTGATTCATTTGAGAGTGATTCATTCTGGGAGCTCCCTTGTAGGTAACTAACTGCTTTTCTCTTACTGCCTTAAAGGTTCTCTCATTTTTAATCTTTTGCATTTTAATTATGATGTGTCTTGGTGTAGACCTTTTTTGGGTTCATCTTGTTTGCATTTCTGCACTTCTGGACTTCTGTGTCTTTTTTTTTCCCCAACAGTTTAGGGAAAATTCTAGCCATTGTTTCTTCAAATTCTTGATTCCTTCCTCTCTCTTTTCTCCTTCTAGTGCCCCTATAATGCAGATGTTGTTATGCTTCATGTTGTCCCAGAGGTCCCTTAGGCTATTTTCATTTAAAAAGTTTTTTTTTCTTTTTTTGCTGATTGGGTATTTTCTGTTACCTTGTCTTCGAAATATCTGATTCAATTTTCTGCTACATATAGCCTGCTGTTGATTTTTTTTCTATTGTACTCTTTATTTTAAATATTCTGTTCTTCATTTCTGACTGGTTCTTGTATATGTTTTTTATACTTTTTTATGTTTGCTATTTGTTGAAATTCTCACTAAGTTTCTTGAGCACCCTTATAACTGTTGTTTAATTCTGTATCTTGGTATTAGATTGCTCCCTTCCATTTTATTTAGTAGTTGTTCTGGGCCTATCTCCTGTTCTTTCATTTGGGGCATGGTTTCTTTGTCTCCCCCATTCTAGCTGCCTCTGTATTTGTTTCCATGTATTAAGTAGATCTGCTATCCCTCCCAGTCTTAGTATGGTGGCCTTATGTAGTAGGTGTCTTGTGAGGCTCAGTGGCATAGTCTCCCTCATCACCTGAGCTAGGTACTCCAGGAATGTCCCTTATCTTGGTTATGTGAGCCCTGTTGTTGTAATTGAGTCTTAATTGCTATTGGCCCATCCATAAGTGTGGTTGCTTCTCTTGCTGGATTAACTCTGAGTGAAATATATGAGTTGCTGTGTGTGAGTTGACTCCACAAAGCTGAACTTGCCCCAACAGGGACTGGTGTCTGCCGAGATCTCCCTTTGTGCATGCCACTTATAGAGCTAATGTAGTCATTTTCCAGTGTGGTCTAAATCACTGGCTGTATTGTTTCTGGGACAACTTGACAAGGGAATCCAGTACTGGTCAGTAGCAGCTGCTGCCTGTGACCAGCCTCAACTACCTGTTTAGAGCTACAAAGTGATCCAGATTTTGTGGCTGCCTCTGCTAGGCATCAATGTGTGTAGGAGGGGCCTAGCTGTGCCCCAGGGCCAGTTTCCAACAGCATTGAGCCTGGGGGAAGGTCAGCAAAAGGCCCAAAGCTCCCAGAGGTCCACCCTCATCTGTTAGCTGCCTATTAGACTTAGTAACTGAAAGCTTCTGGTGGTATGTGTGTTGTGTGAGTGAGTCACCAGGCAGGAGTGAGTTGTGTTCACCAGATTGATACAGCTACAAACTTGGTACCAGTACTGGGTGTGAGGCCACTCAGCCACAGCCTCAGGATACACAAAGGCTACTGGCCACCTGCTAGTACCTGCTGACCTTCGTGGTGGGGCAGAATCTCAGTGATTCATTTGGGCAGTGATTTTCAACAAGTGTGCTACCAGTGTGTTATGGCACACTGGTGTACCACAAGAATTTTTAAGGGACTAGGGGTGTGGCAGAGATGTTCCCCCAAATGGAGGATTGGTGCAGACCCACATGATGCTGATGTTACCAGGGAGGCCTGCGTGTAGCTGGGACCATGGAGGGCAGTGTGGTTGCTTTAAGATGGTGGTGAGCAAGGAGTGCAGCAAGACAGTGCTGTTGCAGGTGTTCACCAAGGACGCCTACCCCAGGAGTTATGTCCTGACCATGTTTAAGGACTATTCCATGAGTTTTGAGATAGACAGTCACCACATTGAGCTCAACATGTAGGACACTTCAGGTTCTTCTTACTGTGATAATGTTGGCCCCTGGCCTATTCTGATTCAGATGCTGTGCTCACCTGCTTCAACAGTAGCCCACTGAAAACACTGGACAGTGTCTTTAAGAAGTAACAAGGGAGGACTCAGGAGTTTTGCCACTGTGCCAAAGTTGTGCTGATTGGCTGTAAATTGGACACGCAGACTGAACTAGCCACACTGAGGGAGCTGTCCAAGTAGCAGCATATCTCTTTTTATACATGAGCAGGACACTGTGCTGGCCAAGCACTTGGGGACCATGTCCTATGTGGAGTGTTCCTCCCAGTCCTCTGAGTGGTCCTCTGAGCACAGCGTCAGGGATGTTTTTCATGTGGCCACAGTGACATCCCTTTGCCATGGCCATGTGTACCTGTGCTGTGCTAACTCACATGGGGACTGCAGCAATCCACTCAGCTGGCAGGATGGATAGACAGGGAGAACGGGAATGAAGATGAGATACACAAAGATTGATGAACCAAGAGTTGCAACCTCAGGTGAGGAGTTGGGGAGGGGCAGAGTGTCAGAAGGGGTTCTGAAGGGTACAGTTGTTTCCCTGTCTGTTCCCAGCCTTCCTGACCTCCTGACTCTGGCTGAGTTTACAGAACAGGCTGAGTGAGCAGTTCTCCTAGGCAAGGGACCTGGAGGCACAGGGTGTCACCATTTTGTACATCTTCATCCCCTCCCTCTCCACAGGAAGTTGAGGGAGCTAGCATGGCAGACATCTGGGCCAGGAGCTGGGATGGGATGGAGGAGGTTGGGGAAGCTGACATCAAGCTGTGACCTTCGTTGAGTCTTCCGACCCTAGTCCCCATATCCTGGTCCTGGCTTCTTTCCCTAATGAAAGTGTCCATTCAATGACCTTTCATTTTCTTCTCTCACTTTTACAGCTGTTCTCACTCATCCTAAATCTCCAGGAAACATATACTAAATTAAGAAGCAAATTGAGAAGCCCCTCCCCCCATATATCCACCAGTCTTAGGTCCTCCCTCTCTTCCCCCAACAGTCTCCAAATAAAGCCCATGGGGGGAAAAATGTTTTTTTTTTATGCAATACCTGACTATTTATTTAGTCAAGGGCACTGATGACCTCTTTTCCCTTAGGTTGTCAAATAAAAAATGTCAACATCCAACACAACTATAGCTATCTGGTATGAATGAATCAAAATTATACCTATTTTTTTTTCAAATCAACAAAAATTATAAATATTTTTTGGTGTGCCACAGAATTTCAGTGATTAGTTTATGTGTACTGTAAGATGAAAAAAAGTTGAAAATTGCTGCATTAAAATGAGACCAGCAGTGTTCACCAGGTCTAAATAGACCAAGATTTGGCCATGTGATTGCAGGGCTCTGCACAGGAATGGCGGCAGCAGTCTCTCATGCAAGGGGAAAATGGTCCTGCTCAAGAGCCACACTCAGTTTCTGAGTATGAGAGTCTGCTCATACCTCCTGGTGTCTGCTGGGTGCGGGGAGGTGGCACACTATGTTGGCCACAGCCCACTAAATATTTCAAACTTAGAAGGGTGGGACCAGCAGGAGTTAGGAGGGTAGGTTGGAACTCGTGGTTCTTTTATTGTGGGGCTAGTGGATCTCCCTCTGTGGTGTGGGGTGCTGCTGCTTAGGCCTGTGGGAGAGTGAGTTCAAAGCTAGAGGCACCTCCTGCTGAGACACACTGTGGGAGGAGGGGAAATGGCCTTTTCCCCAGAGCAATACAAATCCTGTTCCAATTATCCCAGAATTTTCTCTCAAGATCCCTCCCAAGAAAGTCTACACCACAGGCCCAGGCAGCAGATCCCTCTGCAGGGTGTGAGCTTGGATAGGCGGGGTAACAGGAGGCTGGAGGAAGAGGCCTATGCAGTCACCCCATGTTGATGTGGTGTGCTGGACCCAGAAAGGATAGCATCTGTGCGTGGTGTGGGACAGACATTCAGCACAGGGTGAGTGTCCAGCACTGGTGGCTGTCTCTTCAGCCCTCTTCCTGGAGCCACGCAACCCAGTCAGTTTTCACAGGACTCCAGTTCACTTTGAGCTGCCTTCCCTTTACCAGAGCCAAGGGTAAATGGCTGTGAGTGAGATTTTGTGTGCTGGCCCTTTAAGAGGGCAACAGGGTTTCTAGCAGACTCTTGACTCTCCCTGGTGGACAGAAGCTCTGCTGATTTTCACAGCCAGATGTTATTTGGATGCCTCTTCTAGTTCTGTTGCTTCCAGCTGGGCACCCCTGTGTGGGATTGAGACCATACATTCCTCAGGGGAGACCTTTGCAGCTGAGATATCCCTTTGGATTCTTAGCTGCCGCCTGTTGGAGTGGGGCCAGCCCTTTTTGCTCCTCTTTCCAGTCTCGATGTGGCTTCTCCTGTAAATCTTTGATTTATAAGACTTTTGTTCAGCTAATCTTCAATTGGTTATTCAGGTTGATTGTTTTATATTTTAGTTGAAATTCCAGGTCAGGGAGGAGGTGAGCGAGCGTGACTTCCACCTACTCTGCCACCATCTTCTTCTACTCTGTAATTTTTATTAAAGAGAGCCTTTCCATGAGCATTTTTCTGGGTAATTTGATTTATCTTTATGATTTCTTCTATATTTATGAATTTTATAATTAAATGGAATACCAGTATAAATCAACTCTATTAATGGTGTTTTTGATTAATAGTTTATATTACATTTGCTTTTGGCTTATTAAGTTAATATCAAGTTATAAATATCAACTGACAAAGTACTCACTTTAGATTTTTCATTTTTTTCAGAAACTATGAGTAGAGGATCTAAAGTCCACATTTTTTGGGGTGCTCCAATTGTCTCATTGAAAATGACAGTATCACAGGAACCAACTTTAATGTCCACTGCTGACCCCTGGAAGAAAATTCAGCTTTTATATAATCAACATTCTTTACATCTGAAGGATGAAAAATGCAAAAACAAAAACCTTGAAGATTATCAAGTCCTAGAAGCTCTTGGCCCTCCCGATCTTCCTAATGGTCATTTCTCAGAAAACTCTGTGAATAGATCGGTTCATGTGAACGATGACTTTATACATTGTATTTCTGAAACACAGGCTCTAAAATTCCAGAGGAGTGACCCCTTATGGATGAGTGATAAAACTAACTCTGATGTCCAAATATGTGCATGTCATGGCAGAGTTCAGCATTTAACTGGAGAAGAAAAATATCAAGAGCTTTTCAGCGAAAATAAGAAAATCACAGTTGAAGACCATAAAGATCAATTAAATATATGTGGTCAAAACGTCCAAAAAAATTCCTTTCAGTTACACCATAAGTGTGCAGCTATATTGGATTCGGTCTGTAGTACTGAAAAGATTAATATAGGGCCAGGAGCCATTGAAACAACATGTATACCAAGAAAATATCATGAAATACAAAACCAAAGTCTGGAAAAGATTTCTTCTAATACAGTAGATAAGCCAAGGCCTGAAGGAGGAGTTAGGAATGTCTCAGACCTTAAGGTGTCTACTGATACTGAATTTCTCAGTATAATGGCCTCTAGCCAGCTTGCTTTTTTAGCTCAAAGAAAGTATAAAGGGGATAATTTTATAAATAAAGGGATGTTAAACATGGAGATTGAATCAGAAGCAAGTCCTGGGGAAATAAAAATAACTGAAGATAATTTGATTCAGCCTGATGATGCTTTTGTAGAAAGATATGAAAGTAGACAAAACCAAGCATATTCTCTTGAACTTTTTAGTCCTGTTATTCCTGAAACAAGTAGTCACATTCACATAAACTCTGATAAAGGCCTTGAAGAAAATAAGAGATCTCAAGAACTTACCAATTTTGAAGATAAACTGCCATCAAATAAGATATGTATTGAGTCATGTAGCTCAGGAATACTGTGCTCCCAAATAAATGCCTTCCACAAAAGTTCTATTAAAAGAAACTGGACTTCTGAAGATAAACTGGGCCGTCTTAAAGTCCTCCAAGTTTCTAAAAAAATTAAGTTGGTTTCTAATGCAGGAGATCCTACTGCAACAAGGGACCAAAGGAGTGTGTCTGAATTTAAGGGTATTAAAAAAACATCATTAATAAAAAATTGTAATTCTAAAAGTCAGAAGTATAATTGTTTAGTCATGGTGTTATCTCCATGTCATGTGAAAGAAATAAATATAAAATCTGGACCAAATTCTGGCTCTAAAGTGCCTTTAGCAACAATTGTCATAATTGACCAATCAGAAATTAAAAAGGAAGTTTTTCTGTGGAGGACTGCTGCATTTTGGGCACTTACAGTGTTTCTTGGAGATATAATTTTACTCACAGGTAAGGTCGTTGTGGTATAGTGGTAATTTACTTTATAAAGGTGTGAGCATTTTTTCCCCTTCCTACCTGAGAACTCTTTTTTTTTTTTCCCATTCGCCTCTAAGCTCCAGCATGACTGACCCCTTTATAGTGTCCATGCTGGCATCTTCACTGTTGCGTAGTATTCTGTGCATTGCCATTTCTGGGGCTGTGTTCTACCCTTCTTAGTTCTGTCCCTCCTTTCCACTCTTTTCATATCTCTCTCTCAGAGCCTTCCCTGGTTGCTCCTCCTACTCATTTATTATGTTAGCATTTAGGTCATATCATCAGGCTCTTTTTTTTGTTTTCTTATGATTTTGTTTATGTATTATTTTCAGCTCTTTTCTTTATATTAGCAGTTTTATGATGAAAATACAATGTTTCTACTACTTTACATAATCCCCAATGATGCTGCGCACATTACATACTTATTGAGGGAGCAGATACAGAATATCTATTGCATTTTTAAACGATTGAAATTATATTAATCACATTTGGAAATATGGAAAGGGAAACTCCTGGTATCATACCAACCTCATACAATCATCATTAGAGTTTTGAAGTGTTACCAATTATCTACCCTTAAAATTTATATACATATATATGTAAGCCAATATTTATTGGGAATTTACTGTATGTCAAACCCTGTTTTAGACTTTACATGTATATCAACTCTTTACAACTATGTGAGGAAGGTACTGGTGGTTATTCCTATTTTTTAGTTTGACAAAACTGAGACCCAGAGAAGTAAAGTAAGTTGCCCAGTGTCACACACCTCCAGGAAGTGGGAAAGCCAGTATTTCACCTAGACTGCAGAATCCATACCCTTACTATATAGTTGTAATCATAAAGACCATATAGTTTTTTTATCCTGCTTTTTCATCTAACATGAGAAATTTAATATTTTGTTACATTTCTTTTTTTAAATTGATTTTGTTTTAGAGAGAGAGAAACATCAATTTGTTGTTCCACTTATTGATGCATTTATTGGTCAATTCTTGTATGTACCCTGACCAGGGATTGAACCTGCAACCTTGGCCTATCCGTATGATCCTCTAACCACCTGAGCTGCCTGGCCAGGGTATTGTTACATTTCTTTATTGACTTAAAATCAGTGTACAGTGCAGCTGAGCATAGATATCAGTCATTTTACTGATGAGTCTCAGACTAAAAGGAAATTGATTAAGCTTAGTAACACCTCTTAAAAAGAATGTGATAGAAAAGAGGTGTAGGGTCACCCTTAGAAGCTTAGAAAAAGAAAACAAGGCAATCATTAGTAGTTTCTATGAACAGTTTGCTGGGGTAATGAGAACTTTAGTTAATACACCTTGGTAGTTGTGTAAGATTGTTAAGTGCTATCTCTAATAAAGAGACACTGGCAGTGTCATCTTATTTACTGGCAAGTCAGTTCATCTAACTCCTTCTGATTCCATGCTCAATGAACAGCCCTTTTTGCTCATGATTTGGCTTCTCAGGTGTAAAACTGCTTACAAGATGGGTGATGTAAACAGTAGCAGTGTCAGGGCTGTGGGCAGATTCAAGAGGCAGAGCCAAAAGTAGAGGGTTGATAACAAAGGTGGGAAGGGAGAGGTAGAAGTCAGGATGACCTCAAAGTTTAATTTACCCGGCTACTGTTTAGCCATCCTGAGTTTGGGGAGCCAATAGGATACGCAGTCAAGAATGTCCATTAGGCAATTGTAGATAAATGAGTAAAAGGGTTTGAAACTGAGAAGGCCTGAAATTAAATCATTCAACATATTTGAACTTTGGTTGCCTGGTATGTGGGAGGCATGCATAATATTTGCTATGATTGGTAAGTTAATCACAGTATGAAGGAATTTATGGCATGATCAGAACTTTTTTTCCCCTTTCTAGATGTTACTGTTTTTGAAGATCAATGGATTGGTGAGACAATACTGCAATCAACATTTACCAGTCAGTTATTAAATCTTGGGAGTTATTCATCTGTCCAGCCTGAAGAATGTAAGGCACATTTTATATCGTAGTATTTAAAGAATACATACACATTTTTTAAAAGTAGAGTTAAAATGGTAATTTTATCAAATGTATTCTAAATGAGTTTTCTGGAGAATATTGCTTTGCTTAGTAAGAATGAAAATAGAATTTATAAAAACAATTGAATTTATAAAATAGAATATATAAAATACATTGTAAATCATTATGTATTTAAAAAAATAATTGGGTTTATGTTTCATTTTCCTAGAGAGTCAGTATTGTGGTGGTTTTAACCTGTTAGGGAGTCATAGACCTCTTTGAGATACTATGGGCCTTTTCTCCAGAAAATGGACTTAAGTAGAAAGACACAAAATTTTACATGGAATTACAAAGTTCTGTGGAATTTCTGAGCCTCTGATTAATAATCCTTTAGGTAATGAAAAAAGCATGGACCATAGTCAGATAGTTAGGGTTTGAATCCTTGTTCTTCCATCACCATTGCTAGGAAAAACTACTTTCCTTCTCTGACATGCATTTTTGCTTCTTGAAAATAAGCTCTTGAATGAAGAAACCAACAGCTATCTTTTTCTCCAAGAAATTAAAAAAAAAAAAATAAGGTAGACAGTATAAAGTAATACTTTTAGTATAGTCTCTGGTAATTACAGTCCCTGGAATCAAACAGACCAAATTTGAATCCTGGTCCTAGAACTTCCAAAGTCTGTATTTGTAAGTAACTTATTTGACCTCCTTGTAATGCTTTATCCTCATTGGTGAAATGGAAATAAAAATACATGTGTAGCTTATAGGGTTGTTTGTGAAGATTAAATGAGAGGATGACTATAAGGTGTTAAACCTGCATATAATATAATAACAATATAGTAATAGTAGTAGTAGAAGTAATAAACAAAATATTTTATAAAATACTGAAATAGTGTCATTGGAAAATAACTATCAGTATGTACAAGATTACATAAGAGATTAATTAGAATAACAAGAAGATAAAGCATGGAATTCCAACCTCTGAACAATAAGAATTCTCAAAGAAAGGCAGAGTAAGTAGAAGAGAATGATAACAAAACAACAACAATGGTGCTTGGAAAGAGCACGGTTCCTCAGTACCCTAGGGAACTTAACAGAAAATCAGCATTGACATACTCTCATAAAATAACTAATATCCAGTTCTTCATCTACCCAGTATATTTGTATTAACTGTTGACATTGAGACACTGTGTACTGGAGATACAGTAATAAACAACATATACCTGGTATTAGCCTTTGTGGAGCTCAGGTATCTGTGTGGAAGATAGATGTGTACCTAAAATGTTTGCAGGTAATAATGAATGCTATTGAGGAAAATAATTAAGGGCCAAGGTAGTAGAATAGCATGGTTGTGGTTGTGAAGGGATAGTCATGGAGTGGATTCAAAGTTACTAATTTATAATAGTTCATATTGAGAGATAATGGGAGGCTAGTATAGATCATGAGAAATGGATTTGAGATATAACTTTAAATAGAGTTTAACAGGATTCTCTGATGGTGTGAATTTGGAGATGAGGTAAGAAGAGCAATCTATTACTACTGGGTTTTGATTTCAGTAATTAGGTAGCCTTTATTAGGAAAGACTGAGAGATAATAGGTCCATGGGGGGAAGATAAGGGTTCTGTCTTAGATGTGTTAAGTTTTAGGTATCTCTGAGGCATCCAAGTGAAGAAAGGCATATAGGGATTGGAAATGAAGTCCAAAGCTCGGAAGAAAAGTTTGAAATTAAGACATAAATTTTAGAATTATTAGCTCTGTTATTGGGATAGATTTTTTTTAATTTTGAGAGTATGTTTATTAAAGCTGGAGACAGTGAAACAAAGGGAGGGCTTAGGGTAGAAGAAACAACAGGAGAGAGCCTAGGTGGTGCTCTGCTTTGGCTTCCTAGAAACATTATAGGAAAGAAGTGAGCCATGCTGAACTGTGTGGACTCACTGAGAAGTAAAAGCCACAGTGAAAGAAGTGAGCCAAGGTGGGGCAGCTTTTAGCTCACTGAAAAGTCTAGGATAGAAGAAGAAACAGAAGAGAGGCTAAGCAGTGCTCTGCCTTGGCTGTCTAGAAACTTTATAGGAAAGAAGTGAGACATGGTGGGGCTGCTGTTAGCTCACTGAAAAGTTAGAGAAAAGGGGGCTTTGGAGACAGGTTCACGGGGTAATTCCAGGACAAGTTGCCACTGCATGTTGAATTGGCCATGGTTGCAAGTCTCATGGGCACCCTTAAATTTAGGAGAGAAAAATAAAGATGCATGCCTGAGAGGGAAGAAAGGCATGGGCTCCAGAGAGAGCCCACATTATTGGGATTTGTCATATGAAATATATATTTATTTGGTCCTTGTCCAGATTACCAGGACAGAGCTCCTAAAACTCTTGGAATATTTTAAGTGATTAGAGTGATAAAGGTGTCTTGATATTCATAGTGAATCCCATCCAACCACACCTGAGTTAATGAGGTGACGTTTAGAAAACACTTAAAGATGGAGGCTGGTTGCCAGGGGAACCAACAATGTAATTAAAAGATTGGAAATTTCTGTACTCCTCCTTGCAGGAGAGAAGGGTTGGAGATTGAATTAATCTCCAGTTAATCAATTATGCCTATATAATGAAATCTTCATTAAAAACCCAAAAGGGCAGGATTTGGAGAGCTTCCAGGTTGTTGAACATGTGGAGATTCAGGAGAGTGTAATGCCCAGGGAGGGTGTGGAAGCACTGTGCCCCTTCTCACATATTTTACCCTATGTATCTTTTCCATCTAACTGTTCACATGTATACTTTATAATATCTTTTATAATAAACTGGTAAGTGTAAATAAATGTTTCTCTGAGTTTTGTGAGCCCTTCTAGCAAATTAATTGAGTCTGAGGAGGGGGTTGTGGGAACCTGTAATATATAGTAGATCAATCAGAAGCATGGTGACAAGCTGGACTTATAATTAGTGAGTGAAATAGGGGAGCAAGGAGGGACTGCTTGTGGAACTGCTCCTTGAACTTGTGGGATCTGACACTATCTATTCCAGGTAGATAGTGCCAGAGCTGAGTGAATTACTTCGTGGTATGGAAAAAACCCCCCATAGGAATAGGTATCAGAATTATAGTAGCATAAAGATAATGTTCACTTATTTTATTATTAGAAAAACTTTTAATTTTGAAATTATGGATTCACAAGGGATTGCAAAAATAATACATAAAGTTGCATGAGCCCTTCACCCAGCTTCCCCAATGGTGACATCTTATATAACTTTAGTATAATATCAGTATCAGGAACTAGACTACAGACCTTACTCTGTTTTCACATGCACTCGTGTGTGTGAGTGTAGTTCTATGAAGTTTGATCCCATGTATAAATTTGTGTTCATACCACCACAATAAAAATATAGAACTGTTCCATCACCACAAAGAAATATTTTTATGCTACCTCTTTAATAGTCATCACTGCCTCTAGTCCAATCCCCATCTGTCTTCTGAACAACTATTAATTTGGTCTTCATCTCAACTTTGTCACTTTGAGAGTGTTGTATAAATGGAGTCATGTATATGCTTTGTAAGTGAAATCGTGTTATCTAAATGTAATCTTTTGAGGTTGTTTTTAGGTTCCCTCCTTGGATTCATCTGTGCCCTTCTCTCAGGCACGTACTTTAAAAAAAAAATATTCTGGGGCCCTCATGGGACTTGCAACCAGGGGAACGGCAGCAACAAAATCCCTGAACTTATCTGCAAGGCCCCTTTTCTCTGACTTGGCACATTTATTTCCTGTAAGGTTTTTGGAGAGCCAAAGCAGCTCCACCAAGGCTCTCTTCTGTTGCTTCTTCTATCCTAAGCCCTTCCTTGTTTCACTGTTTCCAGCTTTAATAAATATTCTCAAAATAAAAAAAAAAAGGTTTTAGAAAAGCCATACATGGTCATCTCAATAGATACAAAGAAAGCTTTTGAAAATACAGTTCAACTTTTATTCATTAGGAATAAAAAGACATTTATTTTAACTTCATAAAGAATGTCTTTAAAAAAACAGAGTGCAGATCCAAGATGATGGAGGAGTAAGTGGAAGCTATACTAACCTCTTCCTCGGACCAACCTGGAATTACAACTAAATTGTAGAGAAAGCATCCTGAATAACCAACAGAACACTAACTGTAGAGAAGCCTTATAACCACAGACAGAAGAAACCACTTCACCACAATGTGACCGGTAGGGAGTGTGGAGACATGAGAGGGCTGACTAGGCTCCCACGGGTGGCAGCTGAAGATATGGAGGATATTTCAGTGGCTGGGGGGTTCCCCTGAGAAGTGTGGGGTCTATACCCCAAGCTGGGCTCTCCAGCCTACGGCACCAGCCAGAAAGGAACTCAGATACATCCAGCTGTGAAAAACTGCCGGGTTACTGTCTGCCAGGGAGAGATGGCTGGAGACATACAGAGCCTCTTAAAGGGCCAATGCACAAAATTTCGTTTGCAGCCACTTACCCTGGGCTCCAACAGAGGGAGGCCAGAGTGGACTGGAGATGGTTGAGGAGAGCCTGAGGTTGGTGGCTCTGGGGAGAAAACTGAAGGAACAGCTGCCAGGATCCCAGTGCTGAGTTATTCCCCATAATGTAGGAGGCATGTTTCTCAGGCAGAGCTCTCCTTTCTAAGTGGCATCAACCTGAGGGGTGGCAAGAGCTCCATCCACAGGCATTACTCTACCCCACCCTGTAGGGCTTAAGCCGGGCTACTGATTATAGCTTGATTAGTTTAACAACGTGTCGCTCTAATGACTGATTAGTTTAACAACTAATGTGGAAAATATGGAGAAACAGCCAAAATAGGAAGACAAAGAAACAGACCCCAAATGAAAGAACAAGAGAATTCTCCACTAGAAGAACTAGAAGAAATGGAGGTAAGCAATTTATCAGATAGAGTTTAGAGTAATGATTGTAACGATTCTCAAAAGCATGACAAAAGACATAGAAACCACAAAAAAGGACCAGTGAGAAATAAAGAATGCAATATCTGAAATAAAAAATACACTGGAAGGAATAGATACTAGGTTAGATGAAGCAGGATTGTATAGTGACTTGGAAGACACGGTTGAACAAAAGACTCAGAGCAGCAAAAAGAAAAAATTTAAAAAAATGAGGACTGCTTATGAAACATTTTGGACAACATGAAGTAGAACATCTGCACTATGGGAATACCAGAGGAAAAGAGAGTGAGCAAGGGATTGAGAACCTATGTGAACAAATAATGACTGAAAACTTCCCCAATCTGGAGAAGGAAAAGGACACACAAGTCCAGGAAGCTCAGAGAGTCCCAAACAAGTATGGACCCAAAGAGGCCTATACTGAGGCACATCATAATTAAAATGACAAGGCTTAAAGACAAGGAGAGAATCCTAAAAGCCACAGGGAAAAAGCAGGAAGTTACCTACAAGGCAGCACCAATTAGACTCACATCTGATTACTAAGCAGAAACATTTCAAGCCAGAAGGGAATGGCATGAAATATTCAAGGTGATGGAAAGCAAGGACCTACAACCAAGGCTACTTTACCCAACAAGGCTATCATTTAAAATCGAAGGAGAAATAAGGAGTTTCCCAGACAAAAAAAACTAAAGGAATTTGTTAACCAGTACCATAACAAATGTTAAAGAGCTAGCTCTAATAAGAAGGAAAAAAGCAGCCCTGTGTTCATTACAGCGTTATTCACAATTGCCAAGATACAGAAGTAGCCCAAGTGTCCATCAATAGATGAGTGGATAAAACAACTCAAACATTTACACAATGGAATACTACTTGGCTATGAAAAAGAAGAAAATTTTATCCTTTGTAAAAGTATGAATGGACCTGGAAAACATGCTAAGTGAAATAAGCCAGTCAGAGGAAAACAATTACCGTCTGATTTCACTCATATGTGGAATCTAATGAACAAACTGAACTAACAAGGAAAGTGGGGATAGATTCATAGGTAGAGAGCAGGATGACAGCTAGTGGGGCGAGGGAAGATTAGGGGGTGGAGGGATTGAGGAAAAAGGACTCATGGACATGGACAATATTGTGTGATGATTGCTCAGGGGCAGGGTAGTTCAAGGGATCTAAAAGGTATTGTAAAAATGCAATAAAGATTAAATTAAAAAACAATATAAAAAATCCTAATTGGAGAAATACTAAGAACATTCCTTTGCAAAATTGGAAATGATACTAGAGTGCTGCTATTACTACTTTTATTCAACACTGTATTGGAGATATTAACCAGTGCAACAAAACATGAAAAGAATTTTTCAAAATGTCCGGAAAAGAGGAATAGAGCTGTCATTATTTATAGATGGCATAAATGATAGTTTACATAAAATCTTACCCTTCTAAAAATTCAAGCAAATTATTACAAATAATAGGAAAGTTCAGCAAGATTACAAACTATAAGATTAATAATATTGGACAAGTCAATTGCATTTGTAGAATCGAACAATGAGCAACTAGTAACACTTAAATGAGAAGACACCATTGACAATATTATGTGATACTAAGTAATTATATAATTATTAATTTAACAATAAAATTGTTAAAAATATAAGAGAAATTTTAAAAGAACTAAACATATACTTTATTAACAGATTGGAAGATTTAGCATTGTGAAGATTTCAGTTCTCTCCAAGTTATCTATATATTAAATGCAAATCTAGTCAAACCTCCAATAAGATTTTTATGAAATTTGATGATTATTCTGGAGGAGTAGATGGCCAAAAATAGCCAGGGCTTCTTTTTTTTTTTTTTTTTTTAGAAGAGCAAGGAGAAATAATTTGCCCTATCAGATATCTAGATTTAGTATGAACTTGTAATAATTAAAAACAGTATGTTTTTGGCCAGTTGAAGTCAGTCAATTTTTGATTTGGGGATTTCCCTAAAAGATTTAAGTTTAATCTTTTATTATAGGTAATTGAATTTGCAACATCTTGGAAAGCATATTTCCAAGGAACTAAGTGACTTTTAAGTAAAATTCATGATATTTTATAGATGTTAATAGAAGGGTAAGGAATGTATTGAAATAATGAAAATGACATGGTATGCAAATATTTTGCAAGGGATTTGGGAGACAGATGCTGTAGATAGCTCTGGTTTTAAGGCTGATCTAGATTCAAGTAAGGCTGATTTAGTTCAATAATTTCATAGAAATCTTAGGACCTAATCTAATGGAGAATATCCGATGGGACACCTGGAGCTTAAGGTTTTTTTGTAGACAATGTGAACCTTTGTAGAACTTTGGACTAATTGTAATTACATAACCTTGAGAGGTTACTTTAAAGACTTGGTTTTATACTTACATAAAAATTTATATTGCCCTTTTTTCACACCTTAGTAGCTAAATAGGTTATATTCAAAGTATCAGTTTATACTTTGAGAATATTGCAATTGTTTTCCTTTTGAAAGAATAAATCAATTTGATTAGCTTTTTTTACAAGTAGTAACAAATCTTGAGAGCATTCTTACCTATGATCAATATATTATACTTTTCTTTTCTCATTATAGTGAAGTGTTACATGTTTTACAAACCTAGCCCTGATAATATGAGAGGATATAAATTTATCTTAAATATTATTAAATTAAATACTATTAAATATATATATCAAAGGTTAATACAATGATTTATTAACTACACTATTTTATTTGGAATCTAAATAATCAGAAATTTCTGTATAAATTTTTATGAAGCAGGGTTAAGGGATTTTTTTCTGCCTAAAAAAGTTCCATATATTAACAAAGAATAAAGCCCAGAGAAATTATGTGCAAGTTCAGAGAACTCATTCTAACTCAAAAGTTAGAATTTGAACCCAGCTCTTCTGATCCTAGATGTGCTGGAAATATTGTGAAAGAGAGATCAGAAGACTTGGTGAATAAATTGGAGCTGTGTAAGGAGCTATTTGGAGTTGGGTTTTGCTGTAATATGTTTGATATCCTCATCTCCACTCTACCTCTGTTTTTCTCACTCATCTTTCATACTGTCTATGTTCTTTTCTGTTATTATATTTCTCATTATATTTATTAGTGATATCACCATTGTTTTATAAAATACATTTAGGAATTGAGTAATCTTAATTAGAATAGATGTCATGTATTGAGTTATAAAAATGTTAAAACATTTGTTTTATCCATCCATTCAACTGTGCTAGAAATCTTGATGTCATCTTTAATCTTTTCCTTACCCTTCACCTCTAATTGTTTCTTGGATCCTACCTCCAAACTATTTCACAAATCTATTACCCTTTCCCCCTTCCTGCAGCCTCACCTGGTTCCCAGTGCTCTTTACATCCTGATGGATGGTCACTAGCCTCTTAAAGGTTCTACCTACTCTCTCTTCTGTGAAAATTAATTCCTTTACAGTAAAGGGTCTATAAAGTTGAGAGGGAAGACATTACATCTTTATTTTCACTAATTGCTAACTGAAAATTAGTATTTCCTTCCATTGTGAATAAGGCAACAATCTACAGTAATATTAGCAGTTCTGGTGTCTTGGTCACCAATGGAAAACACATAGATTTTCAGATCACATTACAGTTGTTGAAAATAACTTGAATATCGTCTATGCCCGTGATATTTTAGCATACTTTGAAATTATAGTAGTATTACATATTCTGCTACATCTTGTTATTTAATGTATTAGTGAAGCACATGTATTATATCACAGTTTTAAAATGTTTTGATTACGATATGTCCATATAATTGATTTTATAATACTATTTCATTTTGTGCATTTAAAATATTCTGGCCCAAGCTGGTGTGGCTCAGTGGATTGAGCACCAGCCTGCAAACCTGAGGGTCGCCAGTTCAATCCCCACTCAGGGCACATGCCTGGGTTGCAGGCTGTGTCCCTGGTAGGGGGCACAGCAGATGCAACCATGCATTGTTTCTCTCCCTCTCTGTTTCCCTCCCTTCCCTCTCTAAAAATAAATAAATTAAAAAATCTTAAAATAAAATAAAATATTCTGTAATAAAAATATTCTAAAATTAGATAATGGTAATAGTTGCACAACTTTGTGAAATACTAAAAAAAGCACTAAATTGTACATTTTAAAAGGGTGAATTTTATGTATTTTAATTATATCTCAATAAAGCTGCTATAAAGATACTGTTCTGATAATGAGTCAATATGCTTTATCAGACTATGTATCTATGGTACCTAACGGATTGCAAACCCCTTCTCTTTGCCTGGAAATATATCCCCACCCTCAATTACTACCTAGAAAACTAGACATTTTTGCAAAACCTAGGTCAAATAATCCCTCAACAAAGCCTCTTTCAACTTTCTGGGAAATTCTTTTTGTGTGTTCTTAGTAATGCTTACACATTTCTCTTTTGCTTTAATCCCACTGTTTGTTATTAACTAGGTTGATAATCCCTTCAGTGTTGACATCATGATATGATATGTTTTTGTATCTCTAGCAGCTGGTATAGTGCTCGTCATATAGTGGATGATATACTGATGAGTGAGTGAATAATGAGGTTATAGTGTGGCATAAGAAATACATTAGGATGAGAATATTACTGAGGGAAGGAAAAAAGAATCATTTGGTTTTTTTCTTACTGAAATTGGTTAATAGTATCTGCTTTCTAAAAAGTACTTACCTGTTTTTTGTTAAGATCTTATTTAGTCAACAGTCAATCATATATTCAACCATACCTCCCTTTCCTTCAGAGAAATTAAAATTTAATCAGCAAAATTCATCAATCTATAAACTTTAAATGTGTGCATTTTATTGTATTAAAATATGTCTCAATAAAAAACTAGAAAAAATTTGAGACAGAAAAGAGAAAAACATCTTAAATTGCATAATTATTGATGGATTAAATAACTGATCTAATCATCAACAGGAATAAGCTACGTGTTTTGTAGAAATGAAATCATGTTTTATACTTAATATACTTTACAACATAAAATAAAGGTCTAAGAAAATACTGTGATGTCAAGAAAATGTAATTTTGCCATCTTTGGTACATGTGTGTGTGGTTTTTTTCTTTTAGATTCCAGTATAGTCAGCGATGTTGTACTTCAGGACTTACTGGCATATGTATCTTCAAAACATTCCTATCTCAGAGATCTTCCTCAGAAGCGGCCTCAGAAAATGAACAGTATAGAATTTGTAGAATTGGAGCAGCTTCAGCCTGACATGTTAGTCCATGCGGTGCTAAGAATTGTTGATATCACCATACTGACAGGTACTCATTTTAGATTATAAAATAATTAAGATACGAGACCTTATTGTACAATTTGTTTATCATTATATCTTTATCATTAGACATTAAAATATAGTATCACATGTGGTAGAGTATCTAAAATATTCCTTTTTCTTTTCCAGAGGCATTATATAGTTATAGAGGACAGAAGCAAAGGAAAGTTATGTTAACGGTGGAACAGGCCAAAGGTCAACAGTATGTGCTTGTATTATGGGGTCGTGGAGCAGCCTGGTATCCTCAACTTCAAAGGAAAAAAGGTCAATAAGATAAAAAGCATTTAATCTGTTTATAGTTAAGTAAATGATTAATGCTTATAAGCCTAAGATGAAGAGACTCTTAAGAGATTATATTAGATTTGAAATATAAGAGATCGTGATTAAATATTCTTCTATTATAATAGCAGATTTCTTCCATTATAACTTTATACCGGCAAGCAAATAAGGAATTTAAAAAGTCCTCTATAGTGGGCTCTTTCCTGAGCACACCCACGCCTTTCTTCCCTCTCAGGTGTGCGTCTTTTCTCTCCTAAACTCTAAGGAAGCCCACGAGACTTGCAGCCAGGGCAGCAACAGGCAGCAGCAGCTCCTCCTGGGCTAACCCCCTGAACCTGTCTCCAAGGCACCCTTTTCTCTGACTTTTCAATGAGCTAACAGCAGCCCAGCCCTGGCTTATTTTTTTTCCATAATGTTCCCGGAGAGCCAAAGCAGAGCACCACTTACTTAGGCTCCCTCTTAAAAGCAGTCAATAAAAAATTAATGATGGTAAAATAAAAGCTTCCATTTATCCCCAGGTATGCTACTTTACCATTTTTGCAAAGATCTTACCTCCTTCAGATAATGTTCTTTAAAAATTTAGTTCTGGAGAAGGTTCTACAATTTTTATTCAGCCAAAGTACTCTGATAAATAAATGTCTCGCTGGTTACAAGCCAGATATTAGGATAGTTGCATTAATTCTTTCAAATTACAATGTTACTGTTTAATAAATTATTATGTTCCAGGTTTTTATTCCATTTATTTTAAATGTGAAGACTATTAGCCATCTATAGAATGTTTATGTTTAAAATATGACCCATGATTACATTTTCTTTAAAGCAAAAATTAATAGTTTATGATGTATTGAATGAAATGAGATTGATTTTTCAATAAAATAGTATATTTTCCTTTTGATGTTATGACATCCTTTAGTTGTAACACAGATATTATAATTAGTGGCTCATGAATTATTTTACCCTTCTAAATTAATTCAGAGATTAAGTATGTGATCCATTCTTTTTTACCTGAAAGTGTTAATGTCTCTTCTCAAACTTCTACCTACAAAATAGTTACCTAGAGATAGAATCTGTCACATTATCTCTCTTAATTATTAATAGCCTAGGACTAGAATTTGAGAGTAGTCTGATTTTTGACTTTTATGTTAGGATCAAACAGTGACAAATATTTGTTTGGTTGAGAAATCTGACAAACGTGTCAATGATAGACTAACCATTATTATTGACCACCATTTCCATAGCCAGAAGCATGAGTCTAGTGCATGCTGATCAAAATGTAGGTCAAAGGTATTATTCCAATTCTAATGAAGCTATAGCAAAGCAGATTGCTCCCTATTTAATATAAATATTCTTTTAAAATGAATAGCTATTTGGTTGACAAAAGAGAAATTATGGTTGTTTTGAGATAATTTTATGGTATTTAGTTTAATATTGAAAATTTATGAATTCAGGAATTAAGATACAGTTCTTTGTTTATTCATTTGGCATACTTTATTAATAACCATCATTTTTAAGTTTTAGTGTCCACCTCAATGCCTTAAGATTATTCTTTTAAAAATGGAAATACCAATTTCAAATGGTCATCTAAGTAAGTGATTTCTACTTTCAGAAATTGTTAGCATTCTATCTATATATTTATTACTTCTTGAAGCATTCTCTATTAAACTTCCTTTATATTGGGGACTAGCCTAGGGATTAAAAAAAGTCACATTTAGGTGATACAATAAGAAAGGATTATATTGAATCCTTACTGATTCAGTCATTATCGAATACTGGAGGTAGCAGAGTTGATGTTTTGGGGAAGCGTTGGTCACATGTAGCAAGCATTGGTCACAGTTTGGGTCTTAATGAAGGTGGACTAGGGACCTAAATTACACTTCTTAAGAATTATTTGTAACAAATGAAATAAGCTGTTCAGAACTAAATGCCATTCCAATGCAATATCCTCCTGAAATCATTGAATAAAAGTCTAACATTTAAAAAATAACATTATAATAAACCTACTCTTATGACATTACTAATTAAGCACAGAGTAAATGCAAATAATCCTATATCTGTGGTTATATTTAATGCAAAATCATAGTTATATATGCATGGAGGTTTGAAATTTGTTCACACCTTTAAAAAAATTTTAAAACATTTTTTATTTTTCAATTGCAGTTCACATACAATATTGTATTAGTTTCAGGTTAGATCCCACTGATTAGACATTACATAAATTACTGAGTGATCACCCAATAAATCTTGCACCCATCTGACACTGTACATGGTTACTAGAATATTCCCCATGGTGTACTTCACATTTCCATGACTATTCTGTAACAACCAATTTGTACCTCTTATTCCCTTCACCTTTTTCACCCATTCCCTCAACTCCCCTCCCAACTGGCAGTTGTCAAAATGTTCTGTATCTATGAGTCTATTTCTGTTCTGCTTGCTTGTTTATTTTGTTTTTTAGATTCAATTGTTGATAGATATGTATTTATTGCCATTTTATTATTTTTATTTTTGATCTTTCTTTTTTCCTTCTTCTCAAAGAAGATCCTTTAAACATTTCATGTAATATTGGTTTGATGGTGATTAACTCCTTTAGCTTTTGCTTGTCTGGGAAGCTCTTTATCTGTCCTATTCTAAATGATAGCTTTGCTGGGTACAGTAATCTTGGTTGTGGGTCTTTGCTTTTCATCATTTTGAATGTTTTTTGCCAGTCCCTCCAGCCTGCAAAATTTCTGTTGAGAAATTAGCTGACAGCTCCTTTGTCTTTAACCTTTGGCATTTTAATTATGATGTGTTGGGCCTGCCTGTGTTGTCCAGTTGGTTAGGGCATCATTGCAGTACACCAAGGTTGCAGGTTCGATCTCTTACCACAGTGTTACCAGACAGGGACTGGTTTAGAGTGTGTCTGCCTCAGGCCAGCCTGTAGTGTGTGGGTTGTTGACTTTGTATAGGAAAGAGTATAGCATGAGTCAAGGTGAATTTGAGAGTATATTTATTAAAGCTGGAGACATTGAAACAAAGGAAGGACTTAGGGCAGAAGAAGAGGAGAACAACAGGAGTGAGCCTAGGCAGTGCTCTGTTTTGGCTCCCTAGAAATGGTATAGGAAAGGAGTAAGTCAAGGCATGGATTCTGTTAGCTCACTGGGAAGGAAGGTCGCAGAGACAGAAGTGAGCCAAGGTAGGGCTGCTTTTAGCTCACTGGGAAGTCAGAGAAAAAGGGGACCTTGGATGCAGAATCAGGGGATAAGTCTGGGTTGAGCTGCCATTGCCCTCTGCTCCTTTGGCTGCAAGTCTCATGGGGACCCTTAAAGTTCAGGAGGAAGTAAACAGTTCATGCCCAGGCAGGAGCATGGGTGAGTTCTGGAGCAACCCTACCCTGAGTCTTTGTCCTGAGGGCTTTTTATCTTTCTCCTGAAGGTGAGAATCTTAGAGGAGGGTTTCAGTAGAATGTTCACCAGTTTTCCAGGTTCATTTTTAATATGCTGATAAGTCAAAATGTGTACAACGAGGAGGGTTGCGAATATTCTTTGGTCTGCTATACTGTTTTACTTTTATCTTGGGTCTGCCTAGCTTGTAATAGGGTTTTTGTTATTTGTTCCCCTGACTCCATTTGTCCTTGGGTTTAGCTGGCACAAATGGCATTAATTCGGTCTTTGTTCTCTGTTTCCCAGACCAGGGTATTTAAGTTATGTATTTTTTGGTGAGGGAGGAGAGGTATAAACCATTTGCTCTCAAGTGCCCTTGGTTATGGGGGAAAAGGTTTTGTGATTCACCAGCTGGCTGTAATTTGCTCAAACTCTTTGGCCTTATTTAATTTTCTTGTCTCAGTTTCCTCAGTCCATTTGCTCTGGAATTTTCCTAGCTTTTTACTATCCTGTCACAAGGGCACATACAAGAGGCAACCAATGAATGCATAAATATATGGAACAATAAATCAATGGTTCTCTCTCTCTCCCTTCCTCTTCCTTTCTAAAAAAGTTAATCAAGAATATTAAATTTAATTATGATGTGTCTTGGTTTGGGCCTCTTTGGGTTCATCTTGTTTGGGACTCTTGCATTTTCCTGGACTTGTATGTCTATTTCCTTTATCAGGTTAGGGGAGTTTCCTGTTATCATTTTTTCAAATAGGGTTTCAATATCTTGCTCTCTCTCTCCTCCTCCAGCACCCCCATGATGCAAATGTTGGTATGCTTGAAGTTGCCCCAGTAGCTTCATCTACTGTACTGTTGATTCCTTGTAAGTTGTTCTTCATTTCAGTTAGTGTATCCTTCATTTATGACTGGCTCTTTTTTATGGTTTCCATGTCCTTTTTTTATCCTGTTGAAGTTCTAAGTCCAATTCTCTTCCCCTGAGTTCATTGCGCATCCTTATAACCAGTGTTTTGAATTCTGCATCTAGTAGACTTCTTGTGTCCATATTGTTCTGTTTTTTTCCTGTCTTCTCTTTGTCTCTTCATTTTGGCAGCCCCCCAGTGTTTGTTTCTATGTATTACATAGAATTGTTATGTCTCCTGGGTTTGGTAGAGTGGCATAATGTAGTAGGTGTCCTGTAGGGTCTAGTGGCACAGGCTCCCCAATCACCCAAGCTGGGCATTCTGAGTGCACACCCCCACCCTTGTGTGGGCTATGTACACCCTCCTGTTGTCGTTGAGCCTCAATTGCTGTCAGATTGTCAGTGGGAGGGATTTACCTCCAAGCTGATCAGCTGTGAGTACTGGCTGTGACCACTGAGGAAGATCAGTTGCACAGGGGCCCACTCCACAGAGCAGGACTTACTTCATGGGGCTCTGGTGCCCACTGAGTCCACTCCTTGAGTGTCTAACAGTGGAGGTGATTGGGTGGTGCTTCAATGTAGTCTGAACCTGTCCACTAAGTGCACTGTCTCTGGGGCCTCTCTTCCAGGCACCGGAACCCTGGACCGGGGAGCCCGGTGTGGGGCTAGGACCCCTCACTTTTCAGGGGGATCTCTGCAGCTGAGATATCCTTCCTGAT